AAATTTAGTAAGTTTTCTTTTTCTAATTTATGCAAAAAGTCCCCAGTTTATAAATGGATTGCATTCCAAAGTACATTTTATGTAGTATTTGTTGCTGCTGCTGTTGTTTTAGTGAGGGAGGAGCAAAGAAAAGTTTTCTTCTACCAGTTAAACGAAAGAAATACCTGCATGCTCTGGGATTTGATGCTTTCTTGCCTTTGCTCAAACTTTCATACCTGCCAATAACTTGAATCCTGCCTATCCATCAAGGCCTTGGGTAGCAGAGACCATGTCCTGTTCAATTGTGAGAATGGACAGCTTTGCAAGTCCTCAGGGCCTCTGGAGTCGTCCTTCCTTTGCTGTTCCAGCATAGTAGCAACAGCTGTATGCGGTACAACAAAGGAGGTTAGATTCTTCCTGAGGTTAGATTCTACTGCTGAGGTTCTTGAAGGGCTGGGTTTAGTCTAATTGGTGCTTCCTCTTCCCTGACCTGCAGATGCACATTGCTTGCAGTTTTTATCTGAACCCTGTCCAGACTGTGAAGTAGCAGTATTAGTGTGTGGAGTGGGATGTTTAAAATTGCGTGTAACTGGGCGAGTTTCTACACACCATCAACAATGAGGCCACATCAGTGGTACAGACTACACTCTCAGCACCTCCACTTCCATCAAGTGTCTGTTGTAGAACCACACAGGTTTCCTTGATGGGGACCTGTTTGACTTCTCAATTCTCTAATTCCAGGCCCTTCTTCTTGTGGCTTGTTAATGACACAAACAAGAAACAAACAAACAAAAAACAAAAACCCTACCCTCAGTGGCATAATCTCTCATATATCTGTTGGCATCATTAGCCCCACTAATTTTCTTAGTGAAGAAAAACCTTGCTATTCAAAATAATTACCAGATACCCCTGAAACTTTAGAATATTTTTACAAGTGTTTAAGATAACCTCAAATCTGTACATAGAAAGGTGACAGAGCTGTAAAAGTAAAATAACTTAATAGACTCCTTTTTTCCTATTTTTCTTGTGTCTCCAAACCCATTTAAATATTTATTAAATTATCACGGATATTTTTGGACTTATGCTTTCTTATGGAGTTAAACGCATTGCCCCTCTAAGTGTTAGGTGTGAAATTGCGGTTAACTCCAATGGAAGCAATGAAATTTGAATAGTAGATTAGTTGTTTCTGATGTAAGAAAAAATAACAGAGTCTGTGACATCCTAGTTTGGGGAGTTAGGCATCACTTTGAGTATTTTTTTAACTTCACTCTTTTTTCACTATTAATTCCTTCGATTTTTTGGGGGGTGGTGGTGATGAGGGGAGGATCTTGCAGATCCCTGTGGCTATAGTCATCTTTAGTCATCTTTCCCCTAGTTTGTTTTCTCTTTTTATTCCAAGTGGACAATTATACTTGTCCTTCAAGTTATTGTTTTCCTCTATTGTATTTTTATTTTATAGTACAATTCCATAGATTCTAAGGTTTCCCCATCTTCTCCATATATTCCCTCCCCTCCAACTTACATCCCACATACTGTAAGAATAATATAGTCCTTCATAAGCAGTCATAAGTCCATCATTCTATTATTTAAGTGTGTCCTAATCTTGCTGGTACAGACAATAACAGACGGTCCAACACCCTATTGTTAAGACATATCCAACAGTTTCCTTGAGAGTTCATCTTTGAATTGGAAGTAGAGATGCCTATTGCATTGTATCTTCATCTGGATATGATTGTCTCTATTATGCAGTTAATATGCATTTCCTTAAATGAGAAACCATAAGACAGAATCAACAACAGGAATAATATAAAACCAAAGACTTGTAGCACCATGGAGTTAAGTTACATGCTACTGAATAACTGATGTGTCAGTGAAGCAATGAAGAAGAAAAGATAAAAGCTTCTTGGGTGTAATGATACAACTGTGTGATCTACGAGTCAGTGAAGAATTTAATAAGAGAAAAACTATTCTGAAGAAATGAAAATAAACTCAATATCAAAACCCATGGGTTGTAGCAAAAACAATATTGAAAGGGTTATTGATCTTATACATTGCATTAAGTTTGCCTTACATCAGAGTGAACATATGGTATCTGTCCTTTTCAGATCGACTTATTTCTCTGAGCAAAATGGTCTTTAGTGGGACCATTTGGTTGCAAATTGAATAATTTCATTCTTTTTAATATCTGAGTAGTATCCCATGGAGTAGTTGTACCACAGTTTCTTTAACCACTTCTCTTTTGGATGGGCATCTGGTTTGTTTCCCTGTCTTTGCTATTGTGCTGCTATAAATATAGGATTCCAGATCCCTTTCTCACATGCAGATTTCATTTCCTTTGGTTATATTCCTAGAAGCAGGGTATCTGGGTCATATGACAGGCTTGTTTGTTGTTCTCTTAGCACTCTCCATACTGATTTCCATAGTGGTTGTACTAGTCTGCTCCCACCAGCAGTGAAGGAGGGTACGTTTCTCCCCAGATCCATGCCTGCATGTGTTATGAGTAGAGTTCTGAATGTAGGTCAAACTTACTGGAGTTAGGTGGAACCTCAATGTGCTTTTTATTTGTATATCCCTGATGGGGAGAGAACCTGAGCATCTTTTCTGTTAGCCATTTGAATCTGTTCTTTTGAAAAATGTGTGTTCATTTCCTTTCCCCAGTTCCTCACAGGTATTTTTTTTTTTTTTACTGTCCCCGAATTTCTGAATCTCTTTATAGAACCTGTATATTAGCCCCCATCAGTTGTGTAGTGTGCAGTGGTTTTCTCCATTCTGTTGTTTGCTTCTTCGCGTTGTTAATTGTTTTCTATAAGTTATTTTGTCAGTCTTCTGTACTGTGGAGTCTACTCACAGTAGTTTTTAAAGTTTTAATTATTACTGTTTTCAGTCCTCAAATTGTCCATTTGGTTATTTAGTTGTTGTGCTGAAGCTATTTTTTAAAATTTTTTTAAAGATTTATTTTTATTATTATTTTTTTTTATTGGAAAGGCGGATATACCGAGAGGAGAGACAAACAGGAAGATCTTCCGTCCGATGATTCACTCCCCAAGTGAGCGCAACGGCCGATGCTATGCCGGTCCACAGCCAGGAGCCTCTTCCGGATCTCCCACGCGGGTGCAGGTCCCAAAGCTTTGGGCAGTCCTAGACTGCTTTCCCGGGCCACAGGCAGGGAGCTGGAAGGGAAGCGGGGCTGCCGGGATAGAACCGTTGCCCATATGGGATCCCGGGAGTGCAAGGCGAGGACCTTAACCACTGTGCCACCTCGCCGGGCCCTTTTTTTTTTTTCAATGTTTTAAGCATGTTTTGGCTTGTTCCTCAATGTGTTTTTATGATGGTTCCTTTACAGTTGCTTGCTAGATCATCATCTCATGCCTGTCATCACAGTGTTGACATATATTCTCCTTTTCTTACTAAACACTGCACTTATCCCAGTTCTCAGTATATGTGATGTTTTCCTGAAACTTGAGTTCTTGGATCTTTGAATCTGATCTAAATCTCCTCTAATACCTGGCTTCCTTGGACACAAGTACAACAGAGGAAGCAGGTGGTCATGGCCTTTTATTTTCATTTAAGAGTCGAGGTCCAAATTTTCTACTTGTTTTCCACTGGCATGGAGGGCTTATGATGGAATCATGTGTATGTGGAGATCTTCTTACTGCTGTATAGCTGTAGGATTTCTGGCTTATTAGGTCTTGACTAGTAACGCCCTGAATCTGTGGAACAGGAAGGAATGAACACCTTGTTGCTAGTTCCTAGCAAAGAGAAGTGGTTGGAAGGGCCTGGACCCATTGTGTTTTGTGGGGTATCAGTCTCGTCTCTTCGTTAGGCCCCTTTGCATTGTTGTGCAGTAGAGGGGAGGTGCCTTATTACCACTGGGTTAGGGTGGAAATCTAAGTTTTGCAAATGGGAGGTGGAACGTGTTTGATGTTTGGCTGGAATAGAACAGTTTTTATCTGAAATTTCTTGGTAAAATATTCTTTTCTGATACTTGGCATAGAGAGGAGGTGTACATTGGAGCATGTTTGCTGTTGTGCCCAGTGATGCATCTGTATTGATGATTTCTACAGTTTCAGATTTGGGAGATGAGAGACAGCTGACTCACCACGCTGTTGTTTCTCAGGTTCCTACTCTAATTTCTCTCCCCATTCTTTTTACTCTTCAGAGTCTTATGATTTTGGAAGTAGAATAAACAAGGTAAGGTAGTTTTCCATTTTGTTTTTAAATAAAAGGCAATTCATCCAGAATGCTAATGTAAAAGTATGTTGGAATGTTTGTGATATGTGCAAACTTCTATCAAAGTGAAACCAAATTGCTTAAACAAATTCAGGAGAACTTTTTTGTCCCAATTTGTGATGAAGATTCATTATATAATACAGGTAGAAGAGAAAGAAAAGCATTTTGCATAAGTAAGTAGATGCTATTTTAATGAGCTTAATTTTTTATCATTTAGATTATAAGATACTTTTAATATTTTATATTTCAAACATGTATATGTATCGATGACAGTAGTCCACTTACTAGTGGGATTGGCTCAGTTCTATTAAACATAGATTTGACTATAATGCTTGATGAAAACCACTGGACTAACAGAATTCTTCCCTTTCAATCAGAAGCCTAAAAACAGATGATAAGGTTTGAGTTCATGTTCAGAACCAGAAATCCACACAGAATGGAGTTCAGCTTAAAACAAGCTTTATTGGGAGCGTTCCTGAGCAAGGTTCTCTGGTCTGGTACAGACAGCTGGCCAGAGAAGTCACGCCCAGGGGACGTGAGTGGTTGTGTTTATTAGGAGGCTATAAAGATGGGGATTGGGGACAAAGGAATGTGCCTTATACAGTGCTAGAGTGCTATAAACTCCCTTCACATTGGTAAATTCCTACATCACAGCTGGACAAGGAGGGAGCTGCCTTCTTCAGGTGCGGCCTTACCAGTCACCCTCCTCAGGCTCCTCCTAAGCCACCCCTCACCCACCCTGGCAGGGCCTTACACAGATCCAGACAATTTGGTTTTAAGAATGATTTGCTGTGCTCACTTTGGCAGCACATATACTAAAATTGGAATGATACCGAGAAGATTAGCATGGCCCCTGTGCAAAGATGAGAGACAAATTTGTGAAGCATTGCATATTTTAAAAAAATGAATTGCTGAGTCTAGCATTTAATGGACCAACCAGAATTAAGACATGCCATGCCAAGTTTTCAGCATATTTCATAACTGTAATGGTTTTGTGTTGTGGGCTAAGGAGTTGATTAGTGCTAATTAGCCTGGGCAGGAATAGGAACTGGGCAGGAATAGGAACTGGGCTTGTGGCTAAAAACACCTGTACTAATTGGACTCATCTGTATCCAATAGAGGATGTGGGGGGAAGAATATATAAGCAGAGGTGAAGGGCCAATAAAGGGAGACTTCGCAGAGACTTCTACCATCACTGGTCTCCTGTTGGTGCTTCATCCCCAGACCCTCTTTGGGTGCACATTACTGGCTCTGCTGGTCAGAGCAGTTTTGGTTTTAAACATACACACAAATGTTTACTATTAATATGGCAATTCTACACTGCGTAAAACTCTCCGGGATGTGTTCCAGTGCTGGGTAAGTGCTGGTTCTGTCTGTTCTACCTAGTGCTTTTAATGTATCAGTGGCTCATTGGGATTTGGGTGTTCATGTAATTGTGGAACAGTTTTTCAAATTATTAATGCTAAGTGATTTTGAATTACTAATGTTAAGTCATTGCAAATGCTGACTAATCAGTGGAGTCAGTCTTCCATGTGGACAGAGTGTCAGCGTGTTACGTGTCACTAAGGCAGGCCATTTTATGTCTTTTATCTTTAGGGTCATCTTAGTACACCTGTGGGAGGGTCTGATTACCTGAGTAGCTACATCAGTTGCTCATGGGTGCAACTGTTTCAGGCATTCAAGTGAGAGTGTTAAATTAATTCTGTAGCTCAAGTTCAGAGGCTCAGCCTGATTTGCTGCTTATGAATCTCAGGATGTAATTAAAAAATGTTGAAATAAAAAGAGAGAACCTTTCTTGAGTAAATTCCCCAACAATATTGTCAAGGAAGTGTTGAAAGCGCTCCCTTGTCAGCTCTGTGGACAGGATCCATAAGCTTTGTAGGACATATTTTCGTTTTTCTTTTAAAAACCAAGAAAAGCCAGTCCCCTCTGGCCACTGCTGACTTGCACTGAGAGGCTGTAAAAGTGCCCGCAGCTACAGATGCGTTTTTAATGTGCACTGATATCCCAAGAAGAGCAACCACACCTTTTATGAGGCTAGTGTGGTTGCCATGTGCCCCCAAAGCACAGCTTGTGTAACAAACAAGAAGAACCCTTTCTTGATTTTGATTCATTGCAAATCTGTGGTTTGGGAATAACGGTATGACTTCAAATGCATTCAGGAAGCCAATTGAGAATTACATGATCTTTCTTAAGGTTTGTGTTTGTTTTGCTGTGGAGAGTACTGCAGCATGCTGCCGTGTTAAGGAAGAGTGGATGGTCAAAGGGAAAGGAGGAGATAGCATGTGTCTGATATTTCCTATCTGATAAGGTTATCTTTGTTTGTTCGTGAAGATCATTGTTCTAAATAAAAATATAAAATGAGTACTATTTCTCAGGGAGAGCTACTGCTTTGAAATGCTGCCATTACAGAAATAATTTTGGGGGGTTTCTGGTTTCTAATTGCTTTTGTTATCAATGTGTATTCCAATGAACATTTTGCAGCATTGAAAATCTTTAGATTTTGAGTATTTGAGTCATTTGAAGTGAAGTCTTCTGAGTTAGGTATTTGGAAGTGATACTGTATTCTAAATACCGTAACAGGAGCTGAAACCCTGTCATAATATAGAAGGCCAACAGTCACTTGGCCGTCAGTCACTTGTTTTAATTGTGCTATAGAAATATCACTCAATTTTAGAAATATTGAGGTTGATTGACTATTTTATCTTTTATGAAAGCTTGGTCATTATTTATGCCATTGAAACTGCATAGAATGGCCACCGAAATGACTTTTCTTAAAATTAGGAAACACTTGTTTGGTCATGGGAAAATTCTAGTTTCATTTTGGTTGGGGTTTAGTATCCCTCATAATGAACAGTTCTCAACATTACTAATTGCATACCCCCTGGGAGCACATTATTTATCTTGTCGTCAGCACTGAAAAATTGAAGACCCAATATTAATAGGAAAATATTGGATTTGAGTTTATTATCTTTAAGAGTATGTGTTTATTATTATATTTTTATTATATAGTTTAAAGATTGTTTGAGAGTCAGAGTTATAGAGAGGGAGAGAGAGAGTGCACTTAAATCTACTGGTTCACTCCCTAGATGCCATAATGGCCAAAGCTGAGTCAGACCAAAGCACAGAGCTTTATTTGAGTCCCAAATGTGTTTGCATGAGTCCAAGCAAGTCTACTAGCTCTCTCTTCCTTTCCTAGGCCGTTAGCAGGGAGCTGGATTGCAAGTGAAACTGCCAAGTCTTAACCCATATGGCATATTGGCATTGTAGGTGATGAGTTTACCCACTATGCCATTATACATGACCTCATTTATTAAAATGTATAAAGAGTAGATTTCATGGATATGATTTTAGAATACAGTGATAATTTTGTCTCTCCTACCTCCTTCAGATTTCCTTCCCTTTAGTTTGTTTTTGTTTGTGGTAACTTATGTTCAATTTGCAATCAAAGTCTTGTTGGTCTTCTAAACTAAGAGTTGTAGAGCTCAAAGGTAGATTGAGCTCTGTTCTGCAGAGTTGTAAGCAAGGGTTATACACAATGATCAACTTGCAAGATGTCAGCTTAATTCCATGTCCGTTGTTATGCCATGCTCTATATTAGCTATAACTAATGAAGAAATACTTATGAGTTTTTGGGGGGTGGCTTATTTTACTAAGCAGAATGGTTCCTAGTTACATCCATTTTATTGTAAAAGACAAAATTTCATGTTTTTAAAAAGACTGAGTATATTCCATCATGTGTAAGTGCTACATCATTAGGATGGATAATTGTCCACTTGAATGCCTTAACATTTGTGACCTTTCCAGGTTCTGTGGCTTATGAATGAGAAAGTGTATTTCTTCATCCTCTCTCTCTCTCTCTCTCTCTCTCTCTCTCTCTCTCTCTCTTTTAGAAAGGAGCTCAAGAAGTCTGGTATCTCATTACCTAATGTTTTGATTCTTTAAAAAATAATTTAGTGTCATGAATATAAAGAGAGCACATTTCATGTAGATCAGATACAATTTTAAGAATATAATTATGCCCCTCGTCTCACTTCTTTTTCCATTCTTTCTCTTAAGATTTTTCAATCATGTATTTTCTATTTACTTTACAGTCTCACTGTTAACATTCTACTAAATAGAGTTCAATAAATAAAAAAGTAGGAAGACCACTGAATACTAAAGAGTCACACATATTTCTCTGATATGTGATTTTTGCTTAGTTATGCAACAAGGAATTTAAAAGTATGCTTCAGTGTTGTAATTTCCATTCTCTTCATTAAAATGAAATAACTTGATAAACATTAGTTTTCAGAGTTAGAATTTTAAGAAAGACATGGATGAGATTTGATTTCTCTCTGCTCACAGGGAGGGCAGGAAGGAGGCACAGGGATGGCTTGATTTAAGAGCAACAGTAACAGAGCCATGCAGTGCAATAGGAGGTTGAGAGGGGAAGTAATTCACTTTGTCTTTGGGAGATGAGGAAAGCTCTGCAGAGGCCGTGCCCTTTAAACCCCCTCTCCGTTGAAGTTCTCACTCAGCCAGAGCGTTGTTGGTATATGAAAATGTTTTTAATTTTACATGTTTATATTATATCCTGTAATTTTGCTGAATTTCTTTATGAGTCCTAATGGCCTCTTTGTGGACCTTTTGTTTCCCCTAAAAGCAGAGTCATTGGCAGACAGGAACAGTTTGAGTCTCTCCTTTCCAGTTTGTGTCCCTTTGACTTCTACTTCTTGAATAATGGCTCTGGCTGAAACTTGCAGACTGTATTAACTACTAATGGTCAGAGTGGGCATCCTTGTTTGATTTCATGTGTTGGCGGAAATGTTTCCACCTTTTCTTCATTCAGTATGACACTGGCTGTAGGTTTGGCATAAACTGCCTCAATTGTTCTATACTCAATGTTTAATGTTTTTTAATCATGAAAGGGTGTTGGGTTTTATCAAAGGCTTTCTCTGCAACCTCTGAGATAATCGTATGATTTTATTTTCATTTTGTTAATGACATGTAACATGTTTATTGATTTGCAGGTGTTAAGCCATCACAAATTCTTGAGATAAACCTCACCTTGCAGGGCAGATGATCTTTTTGACTTGTTGGATTCCGTTTGAAAGCATTTTTATGAGGATATTTTTGCAGCTGTGTTTATTTGGTTGATAATAATTATCTTCATTTGTGTTGTTTTCTGGTTGCTAATTCAGATAGTTCTGGCTTCATGGAATGCATAAGTAAGGATCCCCTGATTTCAGAATTATTTAAATCACTTGAGCAGAACCCTCAGAGCGTACTGCACTTCAGGGACCCTGGGATGACATCAGGAGGTTGTCAATCCCCAGGTACCGATGCAGTTAGGATCGTGGTGTAGTTGAAGAGCTTGTGTTGAAGAGCTGCAGAAGAATTGAGATTGGAGTTCTGAGTCCAGCGGTTCGGCTGTAGGGGAGATTCCCAAAGAAACAACATCTGAAGTGACCCCAGACCTGACTCTTGCATGTGCTTCTCAGTATGGGGTTCAGCTGTCTGGCACCCACATCAGCCTACACACATACTGGCAGTTGCTGGATCAGTTCTGTCTCCAGCCCTATCTATTATGCATCTACTTTGTCATGTGTGCTGTGATCCCCTCCATGAGATTTAGCCCAGTGTGCTGAGTCTTCATAGTCAAATATGGACCCAGCTCCACCCATTAGCATCTCAGGACCATGGCCTATGCTAAGACCTCAGTTGTAACTCATCAACAGGTCACTCTCCACTGTACAAACTGTCTTGTCACCAGCCACGGTTATCTCCAGCAGTGGCAGAATTGCCTGTTATTCCCATGAGTCAAGGCAGAGTTCAACTGTAGTTCCACTTCTGCAAATTAAATATGGTGCTTCAGGGAGCAAATGTGGGCTGTCTTCATGGACCCAAGCCGTCAGCTGCAGACTTCAAGGCCACACTTGAAGCCATGCAATTCTTTTGGTCAAAGTCACCAGTGGCAGGGGTCGTGGTCTTCTCTCACATCATGGAGGGAAGATACTACTTTCTTGCTAGTAACCCGCTGTGTAGATGGAGGAGGGAGGCTGTGTTCGCTGTCCCGCAGCTAGTCTTGGATCTGATAATCTTACACATGGATTACTGACTGATGGTCAATAGCTGAAGTTCATTAACAGCATCAGACTTTTAATGACTGAGGCTCACACAGGTATAAGGAAGGGAGATTTGAAACAGGATGTGGTTTATGAGCTAGCATGCACAGGGTGGTGGTCAATCATGAAACAATGTGTTCTTCGGGCAGCCACCTTTCTGATCTGGTATCAAAGCTTGAGGGTTAGGGAGCTCCGGCTCTCATGTATTTCCACTCCAACTGCTTCAGGATCTTTGCCCGAGTTCCTGATGGTTTTTCACAGGATTAGAGCTGGCTATGGTTTTACACCGGCAAGGATGCCCGTTCATTTTCCTGTCCTCCCACAGGCCTGGCTGGGGAATGCCTGTCCTCGCACCTTGCTGCCCGGTGGAGTCTCCGCTATGTTTTGCCTGTTCTCCACTGAATGTTTCTCAGCTCCGTGGGGTTGTGCTCCTTCCTTTGTGTTCCTGGGATTTTCTTAAGATTTATTGATTTTTTATTGGAAAGTCAGATATACAGAGGAGGAGAAGCAGAGAGAAAGATCTTCCATCCACTGAATCATTTCCTAAGTAGTTGCAATGGCCAGAGCTGAGCTGTTCCAAAGCCAGGAGCCTCTTCCAGCTCTTCCACGTAGTTGCAGGGTCCCAAGGTTTTGGGCTGTCCTTGACTGCTTTCCCAGGCCACAAGCAGGGAGACAGAGCCACAAGGACAAGAACTAGCGCCAGTATGGGATCCTGGTACATGTAAGGTGAGGACTTTACCCGGTGGGCTACAGCGCCAGGACCTCCGGGTTTTTCTGTGGTTGAAATTGTATTTTTTTTTTTGCTGCTTAGCCATGGTGGACTTTTGTTGTTTGAGTTGATTAATGTAGATTTAAGGAAAGATTATTTTGAAATGAGAAGCCATCAAAACCTGATTATTAAACAAGGGGAATGATTTTTGGCAACTAGTAAGACTCACAATTTAAAATTAGGAATTTTAAACCATCAGTAGTATCTTCAGTTTAAACAGGGTGGTTTAATAAATCTCATGGAGAATTCTTGGAATCTCTGAAAGTTGCATGGCTAGTGCTAGAGCTCAAAAGAGTTGAGACAATTTCTCCTAAATTAAGGGAGGTTTCTCTGAAGTAGAAAAGGCCTTTAGAGAAATCATAGTCCAGAATTGACTTTCATTATTATGCTTAAGAGTTAAGTGATGGCAGACTCTGAAAATTTACCATGTAAAGTTGTTTTTTTTTCCAAAATAAGGAGCTTGCAAGAAGCTTACTCTACAATTATTTTTTGTTTGCTGTGAATGCTGTTTTGATCTCTTTCCATTCTTTGTTGTTTGGCTGTTTGCAGTCTTTTTTTCAACCCATAATTTGAGAAAGACCCACTGTTGTTAAAATTCTGCAGTGACAAGGCAGGTTGACAATGCAGGTTGGATCTTGTTAGTCATCTGCCATTAGTTTGCATGGCACATCTGTTCTCTTTGGATTACATTCTGGGTTAAACAGTGACATTTCAAAAATCATGTTCTTCCCAGAACCTCAGAATGTTAACCTTTTTGGAAATAGGATTCTTGCAAATATAGTTAGCTAAGATGAGATCATAGTAGAGGACCCTTTATCAAGTGTGACTGGCACAGACATGAGAACAGCAGAAAGAGACACACAGGGGAATGGGGCATCACAGTGGAGCCAGTTTGGAGTGATGTGTTTACAATCCAAGTTGCTTTAAGGATGGCCAGCAATAGCAGAAGCTTGGAGAGAGACATGAGTTAGAACCCCTCCAGCGTTCCTGTAGTGGGAACATGGCTCCACCGGGACCTGTATGTCAGAATTCTATGCCTCTGATATGTCACACAGCGCCTTGATGTTGTAAGCTACCCAGCTGCGGGTGCATTATTACAATAGCCCTAGAAAGCCAGGACAGATAATATGACCTTCTTGGAACAATTCTGAGGCAGAGGTTTGTTCATTCGATGTGGCTTTATCAAAGGCATTTGGAAATTTTAGGGCTAGGTAAGAGCAGCTCGTGAGAAGGGTGCAAAGAATCAGGGGAGAGAGTAACATTGTGCTTACATTAGCATGTGAATTCTAGTTTGCTACTAACCAGCCAAAGGCCACAAAGTCAGAATCTTTACTTGATTCTTCAGGATTTCCAGCTGTGAGAAGTGCATTTCGGATCGCTTACTTGATCTGCCAGGGTTGTTTGAATTTGGAGGCTCTGCCTAGCTTAACTTGCTGAGCAGTTCTGTTACAAACTAAAAATCAAGCTTGGCTGACTCTGCAAATCTAGTGTAAAAATGGGCAGTTTCTGATAAAAAGATTTTGTTAGTTTTCCAGGGTTTTCTCAGGAAAACACCACTGATTGGATGGCTTCAAGATCAGAAGTGTATTTTCTCAGTGATGGAGATGACAGCTCAGAGATCGAGAGTGAGTGGAGTTGGTTTCTCTGAGTCCTCTCTGGTTCAAAGCAACTACTCTCACTATCTCTTCGCGTGTCTCTCCTGGTATATCTTTGTGTGTCCAAAGTTCGATTTCCTGGAACACCACTCAGATTGGATAACAGGCCATCTTAATGGCTGCCTCATTTCAACTTAACCACTTCAAAAGGCTCCATTTACAGATGTGGTCACTTTCTTAGCTTTTGAAGGTCAGAAATTCAGTGTATGAAAAGTGAGGGATCCATGGGCCTGGTACTGTGGCCTGGCGGCTAAAGTCCTTGCCTTGAACCCGCTGGGATCCCATATGGGTGCCGGTTCTAATCCCAGCAGCTCCACTTACCGTCCAGCTCCCTGCTTGTGGCCTGGGAATGCAGTAGAGGACAGCCCAATACCTTGGGACCCTGCACCCATGTGGGAGACCTGGAGGAAGTTCCTGGCTCCTGGCTTTGGATCGTACAGCACCGGCCGTTGCGCTCACGTGGGGGAGTGAATCATCGGATAGAAGATCTTCCTCTCTGTGTCTCCTCCTCTTTGTATATCTGACTTTGTAATGAAAATCAAAAAATAAATCTTAAAAAAAAAGTGAGATCCAGCCCACACAGGTATCTCAGAATAACAATTATTCAATGTCCTATAATTAGGAAGAATACAAAATTTCAAGAGGAATAACATTAGAAAATAATAAAATACTGCCACTTACTGAGTATGTCATTTGAACACGTTCCATGAAATAAAAATATCCTTGTATTGGCCTGCACTACTGAAAATCTTCCATTCAGTCGTCCTGGGTGGCTAATTCTCTCTTGCAGTTCTCCGTAAACGAAGGAGCAGAGCTGCAGTTGAAGATGTGAATTTATATTGGAGCCACTGATACTTGAAAGGACACATCAGTTTATTTTTGACATTTCCAAGCCTTAACCTTTTGTCTGACATCATCTCTGACTCCACAGGGATTGCTTTGTTGCCCTATACAAATGCACAGTTAAGAACATTGTTAAGGGTGTTTTGTTGCCCCTTCCTGTCTGGAGATAAAACAGGGCACAGTGCCTGTCCATAAAGAAGAAATTCCAACAAGGCATCTGAGAAGACTTTTAGATAAAGTTCCATCCTGACGGGTGTGCCACGGGGGTCGTACTTTCTGAACACTGAATGCAAGTTGTGCAATGTAGCTCTGTTAGTCTTTTTGCTTTTACTGAGAAACTTGATCAAGACTGTAACATGATAGGAAACACATTTCTTTATTGATTGTCCATGCTTGAACTTGGGCATTCTGTGTCTGGAGTCATCCTCTTTTCTCTCTTTCCTTGTGTGAATATGTATATGCATGTTTATATAGATATAGGTATAATCTTAACATTTATATATTTATTTGAAAGGCAAATAAATTTGGGAAAACGAAGACAAATCTCCCATGCATTGTTTCACTCCCCCAGTGGCTACAATGACCATGGCTCAGATACGTTGAAACCAGTAGCCAATAGCTTCTTTCTGTTCTCCCACCTGGTGGCATGGGCCCAGCCACTTAGGTCATCTGCTGTGTTTCTCCAGGCACCATGAGGGAGCTGGATCAAAAATGGAATAACCAACGCGTAAACCAACACCTTCATGGGATTCATGGTAAGTGACTTAACCCAATGTTAGCCATGTGCATTTACTCTTAATCATTATAGGATATCTCTTGCAAAGCAAAATCCAAAATCTTATGTCAACCTTATGAAATAGATAGTAGAAATCTCAAGTTCAAAGGTAAGAGAACAATCAGTAAGTTTCAAGGTCGGAAAAATTCTCAAAATTTCTATTCTGAATAGTCTAGCTGTAAGGGGTTACTACTTTGAGAAACTCTCACTCAACTGGCACAGAGATTTCTGCACAGAAAAGAAGCGTATTGAAAACAAGTCACAGTTCTCTTACCTTCTCCCTGATGAGAGAAAACACTAACAGCTTGTGCAAAGATTGAAGCCTGACTCCTGATGGCCGAGCCAGTGAACAGGTTTTGGGAGGATGCCTTTGCTGTTTCTACCGGATCCACTCAGCTGAACAAACAAGGTTTATCACTGTTGCCTGAGGGGTGCTGGGAGGAGCTGCTGCTTTTACATTGCCTCGTGAGCAGCTGAAACATCCTAGATGGTCAAACACAGATCCGTTTCTTGCTTGCTATTATTCTATCCTTAGCTCTGCTGTCTTCTGATCGAATAATCCTCTCCCTACTATCTACTGGTTGGTCATTCACCTCCATTTATCTTTAGCAATTTAGTTTTCCCTTGGATAAAAACCAAATCATCACTTAAAGCATTCACTCCATAAACTCTTTCTGTCGACACTACTGGGATGTGGTCTATTCTTCACAAGAGCAGCATCAAGAACTTTAATATCTCGGCAGGTTTTTAGATAATTTTGTAGTTAATTAGCTAAACATAGCAGAATGTTCTCAGCACTGTTGTATCTAATGTGAAAATCACTCAATGGATTTTAGTCGTGACACATTATGGTGATATTTTTCCTAATCAGCAATTTATCAAGTTGAGTGGAAAAGTATAGAGTTATGATCTCAAAATATTTAGTGCTGGATTCTAACTCCCATTAGAATATTTCTTATGGGAAATATTTTTTTTCTTGAAAGTGGGATTTAATTTCCTGAAAGTTCATTTCATATATCATAATTCTTTCTACTGTTAAAATTCAAGTTTGGTATTTTTTCCCCTAGAAACAAAATCGCTTTTGGAAGTAATTTTTGTTAAGAGCAAATACTTTAGAATCTAGAATAGTCCCATCAGCATTTCTGGTTATTTTACAGTAAATTCCACATTATGAAATCCACAAATGGTTTGCATTAGGTTTGAAATATTATTTTCCCAGATAACTCAATAGGAATATGTTATAAATGGTCCTTATTGCCTATTCATTAAAGTGTAAGAAATTGCACAAATATTTCACAGACATTAATATCTATAATGATGTTCATATGTTCCAACACATTCAAACCTCATAGAAAGAAAAGGGAAATTTTGTCTTTTCTCCACTTCTATGTCTCAGAATACATCAACAGTAACATAAAACTAAGGCTTTTTTGTAAAAATGGTTGACTAATATCTACTAGGAATATTGGTAGGAGGAAAGATTTTAGCTGCTAGAGTATCTGAAAGTGTTCAAAAATGAAATTAAGTAACACATTTGGGTGCCAGGAATGTTTGAGATCCCTGAAAACTTCTTTTCACAGTATGCGTTTTTTTCTTGAATATTCTATGACATTCTCATATGTATATACTTTGAAAATCCAGGAAGGATCACTGAATGACTTCCTATTTCAGAATACTTTCCACTCATATTTATTTGCTACAAGCAATCTGGACCGGAGCAAAATGGACTGTACCGTGTAGAAGCAAAGGTACATTAAAAAATGTGGACTGCCCGAGTAAAAGGAACCATTGTGTAGCAGCTGTGAGGTTTCCCATTTTCTGGATGACAGGAGGCATCCCAGCTGTGGCTGCTGTGTTCTCAGTTGTGCCAGAGTGCTTGTACCAACCTGGGTTGCTGACCCCCGTGGCTGCTGTGAATGTCACCTGCTGTCACTTAGGAACACTTCTCCAAGTCAACAGATCCAAGAGGCTGCAAACACTGTTTATTCTGCTTTGCCTCTGTGTAGCTCTGTATCTCATTTCTTTGAAAAGCACCTTTCAGCTCAACACACCGTGCCAGCATTCCTCTTTCCTGGTCTAACTCTTCCTTCTGCTGTTATGCTAGTCTCCAGCATTCTCAGATTGCACCTCAGTAGACAATGTTTACAAAGCAGAGCCTTCAGTTGACATGGATATCGTATGTTGTATCCGCTAAGGTGGCAGTTGCAGTTTTCACATTTCTAGAGTAATTTATACGTTATCTGACATCACTAGTTGACAATTCAAATATAAAATTAAAGTAAGTTGTGGCCTGGAATGCCTCTGAAAAGGTTGCTTATTTGAAGCAATAATATCTAGTTCTTCTTAACTTATTTATTATTTTTTTTTTGGAGGGCGGACTATGATTTAGTCCATAACTTTTTAAAAAAGATTTATTTATTCTTACTCGAAAGGTAGATCCACAGTGAGAAAGAGACACAGAGAAAGATCTTTATCTACTGGTTCACTCACAAATGGCTGCAAGGGCCAGAGTTGAGCTATTCCAAAGCCACAAGCCAGGAGCCTCATCCAGGGCTCCCATGGGGGTGTGGTGTCCCAAGGCTTTGGGATGTCCTCTAACTGCCTTCCCAGTCCACAGAAAGGCAGCTGAATGGGCAGTTGAGCAGCTGAGACTAGACCTGGCTCCCATGTGGGATCCCGGCACTTGCAAGGTGAGGATTGAGCCAACACACCGGGCCCTAGTCCATAGTTTTTATAAGATATTTATTATATTTTTAAAACTGTGCAATTTAGAATGGAATCGTTTGCCACATCATCTCAATCAATAGAAGATAATGCATACACACCCACACAGATAGCTAAAATGAAGTATTAAAGGAAGTCAGTTGATTTGGTTTAAATCTTGCTCAATTAGTTGAGAATTTACTGTAATCGCTTCTTCTCAATTTTGTCTGGCTTGATATTTTAATACAAAATACCATTGGTACCACTAGTGGAATTTTAATGGAAATTGTAAAACTAGATGTAGTTATTAACACATAGTAAGTTGTCATGTATGAATTGAATACATCTTTATCATTTAAAACAATTAGACTTTAAGAGCAACACAATTTGGTATACTGGTGTATTTGTAGTGTTTGAAAAATAGCAAGCCATTCTCTTCACTTTAACATAGTTCTAGAGTAATAAGTTTACTTACAACAGATATTACAAATTCTATAAATGAATTTATGCTTTAAAACTGGAGCAGATTCAAAATTAATTTTGTTGCTTAAAAATATCACTCAAAGACATAGTCCTTGAAAAAGAAAAAGAATTTAGAAATGCCAATATTTCCATCTGGACTTTTTAACAATTGTTGACTCGTGAAAGTCTGTTAAATTCTCTGGTGTTGGTCTCTCTCCCTCTTCCCTCCTTCCCTCTCTTCTTTCCTTTCATCTAACATCCATTTGGACACAAGAACTGGCATATATTCACCAATTCACATACACTTTCAATCTAAAACTCCTTAGATAATGAATGTTTACTTTAAAAAAATAGACTGTTATTTGGGATAGTTAATCACATTAAGCTAAAAAACTTATAATTTTGGAAACTGGCCAAACAATAAGATAATCTGAAACTGAAAACTAATTTTAAATTGTTTTCTCATGATATAAGCTTGTTAGAAGAAAAATGTTTTATTACATATTTGGTGAGCTTCACTGTTTTTAAGCTGTAGAGAAATAACATACATTTGTTTTGGCTAAAGAAATATATTTACTAATTTTGCCTTTGAGAGAATATTTACTTTTTCACCATACTTCACCTCTCAAATGGTGAGATGAAAATTCAGCAAAATTTAAAGCATTTTAAAAATTGAGTGAAAGGCAATCCTTTTACTTCATAATTTTTAATGTGTTATGGGTGATTGCAGATATTCACATAGAATTGGTCTATAAGGTGTGACATTTTTGTGAATGAACAACTGAATATATTCCTGCATTTAAAATGTATAAACAACCAATAAATAGGACATTCAAGTTTAGTTAGGATTTGACCTGGAACCACATACCTTTCCATCATTCAAAAAAGTATGACCTTAATTTTATAATTTCAAGTTCATGCACCATGATATCAAGTCAATGTATGCTCTTCCAAATCCATTCATATGGCAAGGTGCACTGTCTGTCTTGGTTGGTGGTGGGTGTGCATTTTTACCTTGCTGTGAATCTTCATGGGTCTTTGATTTTGGATTTGGGAGGGGGATACATTGGGATGCTGACCCAGTGTGGTGAATATGTGGGTGGATAATATTTATTAGCAGTAGCCTATGCTGCAAATTTAATAATAATTTTAAGAAGTGTTAAGAATAGTTGCGATTGTACTAACATGTAGTAAAATGCAGGATTATATTTTTCTCTAAGAACTTTTTATAGTGTACACTATGCTACAATTTATATAGGTTGCTTCAAATGAATTCTTTCTTCCTCATAATATATTCCTGTGTTCTGAAAATCATGTAAGTTACGGGCTCTGCACTCAAAGAACTCTAAAGAAAAACAGACTTCAGAACAGCATGTCTGTAAAATCATACAGTCATAATACTTTTGCCATTCATACATGGAGTATTTTAATAGATTTCTATGGGAATTAAAGAAATTTATTTATGTGAAACAGAGAAAAGTAGAAACTGCTAGCTGTTCTTATTTTATGTGAATGGATGTCATGATGGTATGTTGCACTTATCAGTCAGTTTTTGTGAGAAGTATGGAAAATTGCAAGGAAGATAAAATACTTGGAAATATGAGATTGCTTTACCAGCTAAGAAATGAAAAATTTGAAAAAAGGGATACATTAAGGCACCCTTGGTTTATAACAGTATGCATGGTGGCTCAGATGAGCATGGACACATGCCATTTGAGGAAATCACAGTGGATATATGATTGAAGAAACGGGAGCAGTGAGAGGGAGACTGGGGGTGGGGAGGCTCCTTTAAGAAAGTTAGCTTTTCCTGATGCAGTGTGTACAAATCTAAGGAGACTGAATGATTGAAACATGGGTTTTATAATTAGAAAGGCCAGCATCGAAATCAAAATCTAGCCCTTACCAGGTATATGATCTATAGGAATTATAACTATTCTCTAAATTGTGTGTGTTTTTAAGCCTGTGAAGCAAATATAATGTTACTTAACTCAAAAGATAGAAATACTTATTATTAGATAAGGTAGTATAAAATGTCTATTATATTACCAATGTATAATTTAGCAAATTCTGTAAATTATGATAACCCTTGTAAAGATTTTAAGAAAAGTGATTTTTTTTTCACTTGTCAAGGGCATACTGGGTAGGCAACGGAGCAGATAGGTTTGAGTGAAGAGATTGTAGAGTTTGAATACCAAAAGAGCAGATGACATGATTTTTGTAGAGTGAGAGATGAAGAAGCAAATTCCCGATGATTGACATGGCGGATGGAAGGTAAAAGGATCTTAAGGAGGCTGAATCCATGCATGCAGTGATTCATTTGGCATGGAGGGTCCCTGAGTGAGAAAGAGGAGGATTGGTTTAAGGAACTGACTACCTAGTGTTATGCCTCAATAATCATAGCTAAGAATCGATTCCTGATTTTATGCATAAACCATTTAGTGTCAAGGGCAGTGAAGTTTTCTGAACCACATAAAGCAATGAGCAGGCATATGAATCCCTGACTGCTCAGGAAGATCTTGCTGGTGGAAGACAAAGACTGTTGGATAGGTGATCAATCTCTGGGCCGGGCAAGGTGGGAAAAATATTCACTAAGTATCATCCAGACCTATGGTGATTTAGAGAGAAAGGAAACTCAGGCAGCAGAAAAATCTTTTGAGGTAACATGTGCATAAGTCTGTGTCCTTGCCTACATATCCGTCTGTGAAGAACCCAAGGTGGTTTTGATTTTTGAACTTTAATATGGGTGGTAATTGAACTGTTTCTGTGTGGTAAAGTCAGAAAGGAACAAGAACAAGAGAGGTAGAAGATGAAAGAGAGGGAATTGACTGGATAAAATTGTCCAAAGGGACTCGATTAGATCAAATTGGTCTGGGTTTTTGCTTAAAAGCATGCGTTCCTGTGAGACCTGGGAAGGAAGGCAATCCATCATGTCAGAGTTTACAAAATCTTCCAACACATCTCTTTTACAAATTCTGACTTTTGTGTAATGGGTCTTCATAAAACATAGATATTTACATTCCATGGTCCATTTATTTATGACTCCACTTACGCGTCATGTCATTTTGGGGAAAATTATGATGAGGCACATTTCAAATCGTAGGAACCACTAGAGCCTGTGCTGTCTTCCTAATTGCATTTTGCAATTTCCTAAAGGTGGTCTCCTGAGATTGCTTACCACGGACTATCTTAAATTTAAAATATCCTTTAATAAGTTATCTTGGTACTTCCTAAATTCAACTGCTTGGTGCATTTCAGGAGCACCTTATGTATGGCCATTTCTCCAGGGTGGCAAGGAAGGGTCTTGGACTGAGACTCCTGCCTGATTGTAGTTCTGCCTCTGTGAGTCGTGTGTATTCTGTTCTTTGTTGTAAGCCATTTGTGAATTTAATGCTTTTTGGAAGTGTGGCAGATTTCCCTGGGTTACTCCGTGTTTATTTGCTGAAATAACCACAGGGTGAGAGATGAGGTACAGATGTCTATATAAGCAGTGTGAATATTTTTATTGTGACAAGCAAAAATTTCCTGCTGTTTATTAGATCGAATGAAAACAAACAAGCAGTGAAGGCAGGACGTTTGCAATTGATTGCACAGCAACCTTGCCATGCTTCTTTTATCATCAGCTCTCTTTTTAATCTCCATTACTCCTTTCAAGACAATGTTCTCTACTGGCAAACCTTGTCTACTAGTCAGGCACTCTCTCAGCAGCTGACTTTCTTATTTTTTGATATTAAAAGCCTAAAAGGTATGAACTCTTCACATTTCCTTCTATACCCAAGAACTTGACTCTACCCACTGCTCTTTTCTTTTTCTCTGTTCAACAGTACAATTCAAGAAGCATGTTCATGCCCGGGGTGATGCGTTGACCTGTTCCTCTTGATTCCGAATGCTCCTGACTGCTCTGGTTATATTGATGACTGTCCTTCCTGTATTTTCAGTAATGTTTTCTGTATTACTGGTTCCTGCATTGCTTCCTACAATCCATTGGACTTATGCTGATGTCTTCCGTTAAAATAAAATCAATGGCAATCTCATTGTAAGCAAAGCATCATGATCCTCATAGCAACTGAGCATCGGTTCTCTGGTTGTTACATTTCACTGTGAGTCTCTCCGTCCATCTCTTCCTTTCCCCTGCATTTCTGCTGACATTTCTGTATTAGGTGCTTCCAGGGCTTCACTGTCTTCTATACTGTTCGTCATTTGGCTTCTGCACTTTCCAGTTCCGTGTCAACATGGTCAACTGAGTTCTGTGAATAATGGCATTCCGTTTGTTATTTGGTCTCTGTACTAAGCAGGCTACATTTCTTTTATCATCCTTCAGTATTGGTATTATCATTGTCCACAAATTCCTCCTCTTGTCCCATGCTGGGATCCATTTCCACATGCTTTCCAACCCTGTGGGATTTTTTATTTAAAGAATTTTCTTATTTATCTGAAAGGCACCATTAGAGAGAAGGAGGGCAGAGACAGATCTTCCATCTCTTGGTTTACTCCATAAATGGTTGCAGTGGCTGTGGTGGGCCTGGCCAAAGCCATAAGCCTGGATCTTCATCTGGGATCTTCCTTGTGAGTAGCAATGGTTCAAGCACTTGGACCATCTTTTACTGCTTTCCCAGGTGCTTTTGAAGAAAGTTGTTTTGAAAGTGGAGCAGCCCGTACTCAAACTAGCATTCATATGGGATACGGGGATTGCAGCCAGTAGCTTAACCTTCTGCACCTGATACATAGTGATATGCTAATGCCATGCTGCTGACATGCTAATGATGTGCTGATATGATACTATGATAGATCAATATCAGTGGATGCAGCACACTTGTTTTTGTGTTTATTGAAAAAGAGCACTCCGCAGTCTCATGTTTTTTTTTTTTCCTGTCTGGCATGAAGCAGTTGAGTTGCCCACATTTATGGTGTTTTTGTTTGTTTATTTATTGTTGTTGTTGAAAAATTGGAGTGCAAGAAGATATAGTTCACTTTGGGCCTAGTGTGATAGCCCAATGGCTAAAGTCCTTGCCTTGCATGTGCTGGGATCTCGTATTGATGCTGGTTCATGTCCCAGCTGCTCCACTTTTTTTCCAGCTTCTTGCTGGAGCCTGCCAAGGCAGCAGAGGATGGCCCAAGGCCTTGGGATCCTCCACTTGTGTGGGAGATCTGGATGAAGCTCCTGGCTTCTTGTTTTGGATCAGCTCAGCTCCGGCCACTGTGACCACTTGGAAGATCTTTCTCTCTGTCTCCCCCTCTCTTTGTAAATCTGAGTTTCAATAAGAATAAATAAATCTTAAGAAATATATAGTTCACTCGTATCATAATTTTCCTGATAATTCTTGAAAAAATATGTTTATTTGCTCCAGAGGAGGCCCTTTTATTAATACAGTTTTAAAAGAGGAAAAATGTAGCTCCTTTTTTACATGGAATTTAAAAAATATTTATTAATTTTTGATGATTTTTACATACTTAATTAGGGTGATAAGGGTCAAGAAAGGTGGATGAGACCATTATTTCCACATTCCTTTTTCTGGGGGAATGAGGGAAATAAGGGGAGAAGCCACATCTCCCAGATGTGTCTGTACCTTGAGTTGGAGGACAGTCACCTGACATCACCCCAGGTTTCCCGATATGGGCATGCTCTGAGGGTCCTGCTCAAGAGGTTTTATAGTTCATCAGTTCTGAGTTATTGCCAATCTCACTACTCCAATCACAATGAAATCTCGCCAGAACCCACTGGTTGATACAGCCCTCCTTAGAGTCTTTGTTTGCCCAGATATTCACTGCCAACACCTGGCTGTGGTAGTTGAGCAATTTGTTCTGTCCTCCATCCTCCATTATGGTACCAGCTGTCCTCTGTAGACTCCAATCCTCCATGTGCACCTGGATATGCTGTCTGCTGCTCTGTGTAAGCACACAGGAAGTCCAGCTCTGACACACTCCATGGTCAGACCATGGACCTTGCAATTCTTTCCATGGTTAGACAGGGCATCCCCCCAAAATGTAGCTCTTGAAAAACTATTTTCAAGGGATGTTTATTAATGACTTGCCTGAATAGCACAGGTATAACCCAAAATAAGAAAAAAAGAATGAGAAGAATGTCTGTTCATAACAGCATTCACCATCATGAATCTTGCTGAAAAATTACTATTTAATCTTACTATGATGCTAATGTGTGTAAATAAAATAAGTAAAAAGGCATATATTTCAGCACTTTAAGATTTTGTTGTATCAAAGTCTTCTTAGTTTTACTATAGATTTAAATCTGTATGTTTTAAAACATTTGAAAACTATTACTCAATCTGTGTTTTATTTGTCAGCAATGATGAAAATGAATTCAAAGATAATTGTTTTGCCATGAAGAAAATGCAATTGATGTCCTTTCTTTCTAACTCAAAATTTCCTAAATTAAATTTGATTTTGTTTGCTTTTTCTTCCCCTAGGTCATGGGGCGTCTCAACAAAACAGGTTGGAATTGTTTGTTTGAGATGAAATGTTATACAAATATGACCATGTTGAAACTAGCTTTACAGTTTTAATCTTTTTAAGCCAAAATCAAACTATGAAATTTGACCTTGAGGAGAACTGAGGTTTTACTATAATTTTAATTGATTTTCTTATTTTCTTTCACAAGGAAGCATGGAGCGTTTGTCATAGTAGTTAAACTGCTGGCTTGGAAGCCCGCTTCCTGTAGTGGAGTGTCTGGGCTGTTCTCAGTCCTGCTCCAGATTCTGGCTTCCTGCTGTTGTGGGTCCTGAGCATCATGCATGATGGCTCAGGTGCTTGGGTTTTCACCATCCACAAAAGAGGTTTGATTTGGCTTCAGGTTTTAGCCTGGCTCAGCCCTGGAGGCTACAGACATTTAAGGAGTGAGCCAGTGGAGGAGAGCTCCCTTCCTTCCTTCCTTCCTTCCTTCCTTCCTTCCTTCCTTCCTTCCTTCCTTCCTTCCTTCCTTCCTTCCTTCCTTCCTTCCTTCCTTCCTTCCTTCCTTCCTTCCTTCCTTTCTTTCCAATATAATAAATTTATTTGATTTGATTTGAAATGATGAGCCAGTGGAGGAGAGCTCCCTTCCTTCCTTCCTTCCTTTCTTTCTTTCCAATATAATAAATTTATTCGATTTGATTTTAAATGATGTTGACTTACTTAACAAGCATGCATGCCCACATTGATCAGGGTGGGGAGGGTGGAGGAATGGGGGAAAGTAGATGAGACAACTGTTTCCAATCTGCTTTTTCCTTGCTTTATCTGGGGAAGGTGAGGAGGAAGAAGGGAGGGCTGTGCTCAGCAGCCCAATTGCATCAGTATCCAGGATTGGAGAATGACCACCTGATGTTTCGGTATGCCAGACTGGGCTAGGCTCCAGCACCCGCTGGTGCTCACAGGAGCCATTATCTCCTCTCCTCCTATGCTCCCCCAAAGTCTCTCTTTTTCAAATAAAATAAAAGAAAGTAGCTTAATTTTTCACGAAAGAAGATGGCCAGAGAAAACATAAGCTTGGTGCATGTTGTTTTTCCCTCTGAGAAGTGCGTGTCCGTTTGAAAACGTGTGTGGTTACCTGAGAACTTGGGATGGAGAGCTCAATTGTTTTCATCCAGGTAAATTGAGAATGATCTTTGACCCTAACATTTTAATAATCTCCAGCTATACATTTTGTTTAGTTACTTCTTGGTGCAATATTTTCATAAGTCACTGAAATTTTGCATATTTAGTTCAGCTCACTTGAAAACTGAGACATTCATTACCTTGGGATAATAAATCAGTAAAGTAAGTTTTCCTAAGGGTTACTTATTTCCATTAGAAACACTTCCGATGATAATGAACTGTAGTCTATTTTATTAGCTGCAGTGTCAAAACTATTACCATGTGAGAATTTTGAAATTGTTTCATTACATACATGCTTACATAGGGAAATCAGTTGTAATGAGTTCTGTCACAAAATACTTTTGTTTTTGGTGGTAAGGATGAAACCCAGCTTCCTCTGTCAGAAATGTTAAATAATGAACATGCCTCACTTAGAGGATTCAACAGGGCCTTGCAGGGTTCATTATCTCTTCCCTGCTACAAGTGATCCTCAGAAACATCAAATGGTGAAATAATAAAAATAGAATGAATTAAACTATAGAAAACATAGGTATTTAATGACTGACCAATCCAAGCAACACTATTTTAAAGATGCACTTATTTAAACTGAATATATACCATGATTATTTATATTAGCCATATAATGTGTATACCGAATTAAAACAAAAATAACATGAAATTGAAATATTTATTTCCTTTATTCAGAGGGAGTAGTCAGAGAAGACATCCTGTGAGTCTTTTTGTTGTTCTGCAGGGGGAATTCTCAGAAATTTAACAATTAACAGGATGTTTTATCCTTAGAAAATAACTCATTTGTAAGTTGAACACTATCTAATAGCTCATTAGTGTGCTCTATTGCATGTAAAATGCATACTCCTTTTTTTGAAAAAAGTTCTTGTTGCTAGGCAGCAAGTCTATTTTAGTCCAAAATGTAGATGAACCATTGCATTTTAACAATTAACAAAGATTTATGTATGAGAGTGGATATGTGTCTTGACATATCAGTTTCTTATTTTTATTGCAAGGAACTGTAGTTTTGACATGATTTGAGGGCATGCCCTGGAAGTTCATGTGTTGGACTCTCAGTTCTGTTTGTTGCAGTGTTAGGCCATGATGGAAGTTTGCATAGGTAGAGCTTCGTGTGAGATGACTAGATCAGCAGACCATTGTCCTCTGAAGAACTAATACTGGCTTTGCTTCTAGTGAGAGTCGGTTATCAGAACAGGAACAAGACTGGCCCCTCCCCAGTCTTTCGTTTCCTGTCTCGCCATGGGATTTCTCCTCACACGTGCTTGTGCTGTGATGGCGTGTCCATCAGCCTCCAGAATTCTGAGCTCAAAACATCTCTTTGTGATCCTCTTCCTTAGGTATCTATAGCAGTAGAACAAGAGCAGTACAACATGAATAACGCTTAAAGACTGGAAGGGATTTTAAGTTTCTAGTTTCTACCTTATGAGGTTAGACGATGAAAATAAACATTCTTCTTGTGGAAATGCATAAAAGCACATCAAGAATCGACTGTTCATTCCAAAGATGAAGATTGTTAGAATTCTTTAAAAAAAAGGTACTATTGGAATTTATTATTTTATTATTTTCCCACAGTACACTTTTGTAGGAATAGGAACTCATACTTCCCCCTTCTCTTCCTCTCTTCCCACTTTCCCCTCCTTCCCATTCCCCCCATATTAGCACAACAGTATAGTATAGACCCTTTGTACAAGTTTAACTCTCTGATATTTAAATATATCATGGCATAATTACTACAGATAAATGTAGAAACATAGTGTCATATTTTAGAGGCATATTTACAAGTTTCTTTGGGAGTCTTACTTTTAGTCCTAAGTAGAGGTGCATACTGCAGACCTTGCTTCCTGGTATGCTAGTTTACCTTTTATAGCTCATGTATAATGATATGTATTTGTTTACATATATATGTTGTGCGTTGGTTGTCTTATATCAGAGAGAATATGTGATATTTGTCATTTTGGGAGCGATTTACTTCACTTAGCACAGTGAGTTCCAAATGGGACCATTTTGTTGCAAATGGCAAGATTCATTCCTCTCTATGGGTGAGCAGTATTCCATTGAGTAGATGTACCACAGTTTCTTTATCCATTCTTCTGTTGGTTGGCATATGGGTTGATTCTATGTGTCTTTATCATTGTGAATTGTGCTGATATAAATACAGAGTGGTAGGATACTCTCTGGAATACAGATGTCATTTCCTTTGGATGTATTCGCAGCAGTGGGATGGCTGGGTCATCTGGTAGATGGGTTCTCAGTTGATCACTCTCCATAGTGGCTTTCAAAGTGGTTGTTACTAGTTAACATTACTATCAATCCTGAAGCAGGGTACCTTCCCCCACATCTTTGCCAACAAGCGTTTCTGATTTCTGCATATGGGCCATTCTTACTGGAGTCAGATGGAAGCTCATTGTAGTTTTATTTGCATTTCCCTAATGCAGAACTTAGCATTTTTTTCATGTAGCTGTTAGTCTCTTGAATGTTATTTTTCAAAAAAATATCTGTTAATGTCCTTCTCCTGTTTCTTTTTTAAATATTTATTTTTATTGGGAAATCAGATATATAGAAGGGAGTAGAGATAGAGAGGAAGATTCACTCTCCAAATGGCTGCAAATCTGAAGCCAGGAGCTTTTTCCGGGTCTCCCACATGGTTTCAGCCTTTGCCCATTTCTTAACAGGGTTGTTTGTTTTGTTGTTGTTGAGTTTATGGGGCTCTTTGTAGATACTGGGTATTAGTTCTGTATGTATTGTATAGAGTGCAAAGATATATTCTTTTGGTTGCCTTCTCACTTTTTTGACCATTTCTTTGCTTGTACAGAAGCTTCTTAGTTTGATTTAGTCCCCTTAGTTTGATTTGCTTGTTTTGACTGTAACTGTGCTGTGCTGTTGGTGTCTTCTTTAAGACATCTGCCTGTACCTATTTGTTGTGTGATGGTACCTGTGTTTTTTTCCAGTAGTTTGATGGTTTCTAGACAGAGGTGTAGATCCCTGATCCATTTAGAGCTGATTTTTTTTTATACTTCTACAAGTGCATATCTGGTTTTCCCTGCAGCATTTGTTAAAGATACTACCCTTTCTCCCTGGGTTGTTTTAAGATTTCTTGTAGATTAGTTGTCTGTGGATGTGTGAGTTCATTTCTGAGATTTCTATTCTGTTCCATTGATCTTTCCCCCTGTTTTTGTACCAGTTCCATACTGTTTTGATGACCACTGCCCCATAATATAGCTTGAAATCTGGTATTTTAATTTTTCCAGCTTTCTTTTTATTGATGGATTTCCCCCAGTTTTTGATTGTTTCAGAAACTTTGTCCACCCTGCTCACTGCTTTGTGCCAAGTAGGTAGAACAATGACTGACATATGGTTATGCTCACGACATATCTACACAGGGGAAAAGGGAACAGTGATGTGAGAGTGTAGAATTGGATGTTCCTAGCTTGTAGTTGGCGAGGAACAAAGTGAGCTCAGCTAAGACACTCAAACAAGGGCTTACCATGAGAACTAGGAAAAGACCGGCTGGAATCTTGGAGGATGTAAGCCTTTGGGTGAAGATAAAGTCAAACGTAGAAACTGAAGGTGTACAAGGTTTAAGATGAAAGGAGAAGGGCGTGATGGAATGACTAATGTCACAGAGTTCTGGTGAATTAAGCAATGAATTGGATTCAGCGTATCGGTGTGCGTATTTTGCCAGATGGCTTCAGTAGGAAGCGGTTTTGAGTCCCGTGGAGCTTCCTCCTCACTGCCTTCACTTTGTTGCGTTTTCATGTTTCGCCTGTTAAGACAGGTTGAGTAATCTCCTGCTGATGAGTTTACTCTGAGGGTATTGCCAAAGCCATTGGCCATTTTCTTTATGAAAGGCAATGTAA